CACAACGTGGCAGTAATTACACTGGATCCGGTGTCTCTACACAATCTACCATGAGTTCTTTTATAAGACAGAGGCCATTACCAGAAAATTGGATACAACAACCTACCGAAGATGGTAACACATATTATTATTTTAATACAGTAACTCAAGAGATTAGATGGACTTACCCTGGTGATGAATTCACTCCTGGAAATTCTGATTCCGTTGATGATAATGACATTGTTGTTCCTTCGGAGGGTGTAGAAGGTGAAGTTGTTGATGAACCTTTAGTGGATGCTGATAAGGAAAGTGTTACTAGTTCAAAGGATAGTGGATTAAGTACTAGCACTGCTAGTACTGTTCAACAAAAGCCTCAACTTTCTACTGACGAAAAGGTGTATATTTTTTTATTCTTATTTTATATTCTTTTGATTATGTTTTTCAGTTAAACTTTTATATTCTTTTTCAACTATGCTAATTCTTTTAGCTTCCACCTGGTTGGGGTAAGAAAACTACACCCCAAGGAAAAGTTTATTATTTTAATAAAACGACCGAAGAGACTACTTGGAGTCTTGATAATATTGGCGAAGATGGTCTTTTGGTAAGATATTGTTATGGTTTATTTAAGCTGTCATTTTTATCATTATTTATCATTAGATTCATTACTTATATCCTTTTTAGATTAAAACTGATGACGACGAAGCTGAAAAGGTATACCATCGTTTCATTCTTTTTTTTTTTTTGCGTCATATTTTTTTTTCGTTCGTTTATTTTTTATTTTTATTTTTTTTTTCATTTATGTTATTTTTACATTTATAGCTTCCACCTGGTTGGGGTAAAAAAATTACCCCCCGAGGAAAAATCTATTATTTTAATGATGCGACTGGAGAGACTACTTGGAGTCTTGATAATATTGGTGAAGATGGCCGTTTGGTAAAATATGGTTTTTTTTTAAAAGTTACTTAAGTTTCGATCTTTATGATCTTTATGGTTAATTCTGTCTTTATTAGATTAAAACTGATGACGATGCTATACCTTTTGGTGCTGGTGCTGGTATTGGCTCTGGTGATGAAGCTCCAGATGATCCTTTACCTCCTCCTCCTCCTCCTATAACTACTCTTCAAAAGAATCCTGATCAAACTTTTCTCATGCGAAATTCTAATGAACCATATAGTTGGGACTCGTTATCTGCCACTATTTATTCTGCTATTAATAATTTGACTGTTGCTGCTAGAGAAAACATGAAACAAGATTATCAAAATTGTACGAATGCCATTGTTGAGAGCGTTCGTATCATGCTTTATGCTTCTGGTACCGTTGAAAAAGAGTCCCCAATTATTCGTCAAAATAGAACCTTAAAAACTTATCATAGGCATATAATGGCTTCTCTATCAAAGTTGGTCCTTTCTACAAAAGTTGCTTCTGGTGTTTGGCCTCCACCTGATTCTGCCCAAAAAATGAAAAACGATGCTGATGAAGTTTTGGTTTCTGTTCGTCAATTTGTGCAAGCTGCTGAAAATACTGTGGATATTAGACCTATTGACCCTAAAATTCTAGAAAATGCTATCGGTGGTTCTTGGCGCGGTAATAATTTGGCTATACTTGGTCCTAATAATAAAAAACTTCCCGCTCCTTCTATAACATCAAGTATTAGTTCTCAGGATAGTATTGATTCTTCTGGTCCTTCCCGTTCCTTAACTCCTGATATTTTGGCTTCACTAGAACATTCTTCTCGTACCATCTCAAAAGCTATCATGTTAATAAATAATCTTATCAGAAAGCATACTGAAATAACTCAATCTTCTGTGCCCGGTAATAATACTGTTGCTAGCTTTGCTCCACAACTAGTAACACAGACACGTCAGGTTGTGACACATGTTGGTCAGTTTGCATCTATGGTTGAGGATATTAATTTAGAAGATTTAGATGAAACTAGTCAAAGTTCTGTAAATGAATTTAAAATTGCAAAACAAGCTTTATATAATAATATTACTGGTTTGGTTATGGCCGCTCAAAGTGCAACCGATCCGTCCCTCAAATCTAATATAATGGATCATGTTCAAATTTCTGCTAATGTTGTTGAAAAATCTGTAAAAGACTTGATAATTGCTGCAAAGTTTCTTATGGAAGAAAAAGATACACAAGATCAATTAAAAATTCAAATGCGTACTCCTAGGCATTCTAATTCTGAAATATTATCAAACCTGCCTTTAACATCGATTGAAGATGGCGCGAATGACGTCACTGAAGATGCTGAAATTATGGATAATCAAAACATCATTCCCATTAGCCCTCCAGTAACGATTCAAACAACTGGTTTACAAACTGTACCCGAGGATGATGTTATGAATACCGAGTCACCTACGATTTTAAATGATCCAAATTCGATCAATGCGATCAGTACGACTGATGACCCTGATAAAATACCAACTTCTCCAGTTTCCGATGGTTCTTCTATGACTGGTAGTCGTTCATTTTCGAGCAGTACTGTAGATTCATCAACAGTAGTATCAGTTCAATCTTATAGCTCATCTTCTCAACGTATAAATACACAACCTGCTGCTCAGCCCGATTATCGATCATCATCTCCTCCATTACCTGGTAATCCAGGTGGTACTAGGTCACCACGTAGTGAAAGTAATAAAGTTACCAAATTCTTTGGTGAAGATGTTCAATCCATAAATCAAACTCGTGTACAACGTGAAGATAAACCCTGGTTCCTTAAATATGATTACGATGAAGCTGAAATAGTTTTCAATATGGAAAGGCATGTTAAGGGTGGTACTTTAAATGCTTTGGTAGAAAGATTAACGATGCACGATTTACTTGATTCAAGTTTTATAGCAACTTTTTTGTTGACATATCGTTCATTCTGTACCACTGAACAATTTTTTGAAATGTTGACCAAACGTTTCATGATTTCACCTCCTGATAATTTAACACAAGAGCAACTTGAAACTTGGCAAGAAAAGAAACAAACACCTGTTAGATTAAGAGTTTTTAATATTATGAAGAGTTGGTTGGAAAATTATTATATTGATGATAAAGACGCTTCTTGTTTGGAACGTATACGTGAATTCGCGCAAACTACAATGCATGAACATATGGCTTTTGCGGCAGTGAGTTTGATTAAAGTCATTGATAAACGGGTATTTATTTCTTTACAATCATCTACAATCGTTATATAAATTGGTTATATATATATATATATCTCACTCTTTTCTTTTTTCTTCTTTTTTCTTTTGTATTATATATATATATAGTTACAACAACGAAAGGATGCTGTCTTTAAAGAAATGATTCCTAATAATACTATGTTACCACCACCTTCAATTAAACCGAAAAATCTAAAAAAAATTAAATTTTTAGATTTGGACCCATTAGAAATTGCAAGACAATTAACTATAATAGAAGCTAAACTTTACAATAAAATTAGACCAGTTGAATGTTTGAACAAGGCATGGAGTAGAGAAAGTAAAGAAGGTGAAGATAGCGAAGGTGAAGAAATAGCCGTAAACATCAAAGCCATGATTGTTAACAGCAATCAGGTAAACAAAGATTTTTAAATCGATTACATATCTAATTTTATGATTTCAACGTTTATAATACGCTAATTTAATATATATATATATATTTTTTTTTTTTTTTTATTTCCTTGGTTATTAGATAACTGGATGGGTAGCTGAATCCATTCTTAATCAAAAAGAAATTAAAAAACGATGTGCTTTTATCAAACATTTTGTTGCAGTAGCTGATAGATGTAAACAATTAAACAACTTCAATTCCTTAACGGCAATCATTTCCGGTCTTAATTCGGCACCAATTCATCGCCTTAAGAGAACATGGGAGATGGTAAATGCACGAACAATACAGACGCTTGATAACCTTAATAGAATCATGAACTCTACAAAGAATTTCTTTGATTATCGAGAAATGTTACATAGTGTGAATCCACCGTGCGTACCATTTCTGGGTAAGATTAACACAATATTTTTTAAAGAATATTGAAATCGACATAAAATACGATATTAATATAATATTAATATAATATTAATACAATATTAATATAATATATTAATAACATAAATTAACAATTTTAATTATTTATTTCAGGTGTTTATTTAACTGATCTTACTTTTATCGAAGATGGTAATCCGGATATTCTTAAAAAAAATCAACAATTAATTAATTTTTCGAAACGAATGAAAACTGCAGATGTGATACGTGAAATTCAACAGTATCAATCTGTACCCTATAATCTTACTCCTGTACAGGAAATTCTAATTTTCATTCAAAGTCATTTACAAGATAGTAGAGATGTTAGCGATTTATATAGTACAAGTTTGGATATGGAGCCAAGGTAATATTTCATTTTTATTAATGGATTGTATTTAGAATCACATATTATACATATTACACACCACCCACAATAAAAATAGAATCTGTATAATTTTCCATAAATTTATTTTTGTTAAAACTTGTTAAAAAAAAATTCTACACCTTTGAAAACATATTTTATGACAATATACTAAGTATAGTTTGACTTATGGAACAAAACCAATATATTTCGATTTTTCATTACAGGGAACGAGAGGATGAAAAAATTGCAAGATTGTTACAAGAAAGCGGTTTCCTATAACGGAACCATTCTTTGATTTTCATTTATGTCTCTTCAATTACCTTTATGGCTCTGATCATCTTTGGTTATTAGTCAGTTGAATGATCATGGATTTTTTTTTTTTATTTTATGATTCTTTAAAAATATATATATTTTTTTTTAAAAAACCATAAAATCACGCGAAATTTTTATTTTTCCTAAAAAAAAAAAAAAAATTTAATTTTGGATTTTAGGGCCTATGGTTTTATATTATAAAGAAAAATCGCGTGTTGTTAAATTTTATATGCAAACATATATATATATATATGTATATACACCTTTTTATATTCATAGTAATTATGCAAATAAATTTTGTAGATTTTTTCTTCTTTTAAATGTTATTTTTTTTCTTAAATATATATATATATTATTATCGAGTTCCCTTAAACCCCTTTTTTTATAGTGGAAGCTGAAAATACGTATATGAGTTGTATGTGTAATAATAATATTAATAAAAATATGTCAACTTTTTCATATCGATATCTGGTTGCCGATTTTAGAATGTAATTACGGAAGTGCTTAAGATGGTTAGAAATGATTTCGAACGGTTCTATCAAATGCATACGACAATGGTAAGGACCACATTGACATATATGCGGTATATTCAGTTCCATATTATAATGGTTTATGAGGTAAAGTGCAAATTTTTTGTACGTCACAACAATATATAATCAATATCATTAAAATGAGTATAAAGTATTGGCAGCGTTTCAACGTTTATAAAGCGAACAATGTTAATGTATAGGCCAAATAATAATAGTTTTCTAGGAAACTCCTAGTTTATAGTCACATTCATGTTTAGCAATTAACATTTTCTACAGTATTACAAAGTGTATTTTTTCTCATCTATTTTTTTTTTTTTAAAAAAAAAAGGTTTCTTTTTTTTTAAAAAAAAAAAGACAAGAATCTAATGTTAATAGCTAAAGCAAATGATCAAGTTCACTTTTTCGCGCGTTCAACGATTTATAAACTAGATACTTAACAAATTTCACATAATTAAATGCATAATTTGTGTAAGTTTTAAATGAATCATGATGTTACATATTTTTATACCAGGCGTATTTATTTAGAGATACGACATCTTATAAGCATTAGATAAATGATCTCACAGATTAATTAAAACTTTCACAAAGCTTTAAAAAAAATGTATACCATTAAACTTTTGTTTTTAGATAAGATTAAATGATTCTATACATAATATCGATGTGGCTTAAAATTGACTTCTAACGCTAACCTTTGAAGTTATTGTTATGTACGTACGTATGCACATAAGAAGATATACCGTAGATACTAATGATACGTAGTCTGTAGTACGCTCTGGTGATTTTAAACTAAACGGGTGCGTTTTAAATCTTATTTTATTAATAAAAAATGCATTTAAACGAAAATCTTTATAGTTAAGATTTCCGGGTTTACCAATGTTACTCAAAATATCCGAGACGATAATTAGTCTCCCACAATTTCAACGAAGTACGTACGTACGTTCGTACGTACATTACATATGCACGCACGCATGTATCTACGTGCATAATAAACACCAATATAATGCTAACTACTACCGCTACATAGTTTGGGTCGGTTAATATCGATAATAATTGCAAGACCGAAATGTGTGACAGGTTACGACTAATTGATTTAACATCGGCCAATATCAATATTAAACAGTTTTTGATGTTAGCGGTTAGGGTTAGATTGAGAAGGGTTAAAAAGAATTTTAAATAAAATCTATGCCAAAATTATGAGTAAAATTTTTTTTCTTAGAGTACCAAGAGCAGTTTCTTAGGCAAAATTTTGAAATAGAAAATTTGTTTTTTTTAATTTTATCGAACTGTTACACATTTCGGTCGCATAATAATTAGTGTTAATGTTTATGAAAATTATTTTAACCTTAAAGAGTTTTTATTTTTTTTTAAATTAAGAATTTCTTGGCATTAACAGAATGCAATTTCAGCTTTGCGGTATTCATATCTTGTTAATAATTTCTTTCTATTTTAAATTATCTTTGTAACATCATAATTAATTATTAACTATATTTTGTGATAAATTAAATATTTTAAAAAAGTTAAACTGTTTTACTAAATCACACTAGTGGTATTCAACACCGATAGCCAAGTAACCAATGCTAAATAAAATTAGTGTTTTCAGAAAAAACTTATTCTAACTAAATTTAAACCTACATTTTTACTATAGTTTAAGTTTCTTCAAATCTAAATTTACTAGCAAAATCACGGATTAAAAATATAGTTGGCGTTAAATATTACTATATTATGATTTAGTATTATTGAAATTAAAAATATAATAATCAAAATAGTGTTTCAAATTCAGTTTAGTTCAATTTAGATTCGGGTTCAGGTTCAATAAACCTAAACTGAACTTTAAATTTTGCAAATCTTTGAACCTGAATTTGAACTAAATTTTAAATTTATAAACCTAAACTAAACCTGAACTCAAATTTTTGATTTAGTTCAAGTTTAGTTCAAGTTCATAAACATATTCAAGTTCAATAATTTATATATAAATTTTTATATATAGAACAAAATTACTTAGAGTATAAAAAAAGAATTAATTAGTAAAATTTTAAAAATCATAATATTTTTCATAATCTTATTAATAAAATTGTGAAAAATATTATTATTCTTAAAATTTACTAATTAATTTTATTTTTATACTTTAAGTAATTTTGTTATGCAGACTTTTTGACAATCTCAATCAACAACAACTACAACAAAATATTATAAAAAAGTAACAAAAGTTAATACTAGACTTGGTTTTATAAAAACAGCTTGTTATTAACAAAGTTGAAGCAATAAGATAAATCAGATAAAACACAATTAAAATAAACTATTAATTATATGTTTATTTGGTAGAGTTTAATAAAATAAAATAGTAGTAGCAACAAATACAGGAATATATAACAGATAATATATATTTTGAATATAAGAATATCTGTATAAACAATACTTTAGGACTAATACTAACCTCTTTACAATTTTTAAATTGACAAAATTTTTTTTAATAAACTTTTACTTTAATATACTAATTAGATAAATTAGCTTATTTAATAGTATATAATTTTTACAAGCCTAATATAGACTTATAATTATTCTTTAAACTATATTCTAGACAAATTTATCTGAAAAATTAAATTATATTTATTATTTTTTTTTTACTATGATCAGAATCATAAATAAATTAGTTATTTTATGGTAAATTCTGTATTTTATGATACG